AAAATACAAATCATGTAAACTTGTAGATATGTAGGATAGAATGCACATATAAAGGCACTCCTCAGCAGTAAAATTAATGTGTATATATCACAAAAAATAGTCACTTATTGAGCACAAGAATTACTTTTTTTTTTTTTTTTTTTTTTGTAAATATGCAGTTATAAATATATATAAGGACTTTTACTCTAATATTGCTTCGCATAGGAGCGATGGTAGCGGGAGCGAGAGCCAGTGCTGAAGCTCCGAGAGCTGGGGCCTTCCAGATCCGCGAGGGAGTCCTTCACTTTCTTGTCCTCCCACCTGCCAGCCCTGTCACCGTAGGACTTCCTCTCACTGGAAAGTCCCCTTGCACTAGTCCTGTACTCGCATGCTCTCTTCTTGGAGATGATTGTCAGGATTCCGTCCGAGGACAACACGCAGCTGATGGCGTCTCGGTCGACGAGCTCAGGCAACGCCAAGCGACGCTCGAAGCTCACTCGGGACACTCTGCTTCCATCCTGCTTCTCTGCTTGACCCTCGACCAGCAGTTCCTTGCCCTTCACCAACTGCACTGTCACGTCGCCCTTAATGAAATCAAAAACGTCCATCACAATCTGAAAAGGAAAAAAACATTTCATTACGAAACTACCTATTCACTCTTCCCAGAAATAATCATTTAAAATGTGATATGAAATTGGTTTACGTGAAAAAGCAGTTTTACACCCACCTTGTGTGAGTCTTGATCGTCAATGATGCCAACAGCCTGAGTTTCCAACTTGAGGTTGCGCTGACGCAGACGTCTGTAGTTGTGCATGGCGTCACTTCGACAGGTCCATTCATTAGCCTTTTCCAGCACTTCTCTCACTGCTTGGCTGAAGCTGTCACGAACATTCACGAAGAAATAGTCTTCAGTGAATACACCCCTTCTGTCCACGTATAAAACCCTGGTTTCCGTTGAAAAGCTTGGAATGTCATATTCGAAGTTCTTGTCAGTTTTCATCTTTGTCTCCTTGTTGAGCAAATGTCCATTTTCAAATTCTTCGTCGTTATCTTGGAAAGTGACTTGGTAGCGATCATTGATTTGCCTGGCAAATGTCCTAAAATCCTCGTCATCCGAAGATGAATCTCTGTTCCCCAAAAAGTTATCGGTGAGACGATGCCCACTTGTGAATTTCCTTGAAAACATTGCATCACCATCGTCCATGTCAGTCGAAACGTGTTTTCGGTTGTGGCCAAGCTGTGGAACAAGGAAGGTATGTGAGATTTAGGAATATTTATATGATGTATTTAACAATCACGCCTTTGCATGTATGACAACTTTTGGCATGTATTGTATGTATATTATGCACATAAAGATACACTTGCGATTTTCATATCTTTCTCTTATGTTTGCACTGCTCTTCACTATCAGTTTTTTTTTCCTCCCATACATGAAAACATAAACAGCACTACCCATCTCTATATGACATATATATCTGTATATATATTAATTCATATATATATACACATATGTGTGTGTGTATGTGTATGTGTGTGTACATATATTCATATATGTAAATATATACAGGCATGTACATATACTGTATATATATATTCATATATATTTGCATGCACGCGCATGTGTGTATGTGCATGTGAACACACACATACATAAGTAAGTATAACCTACCCTCTTCGGAGCTAAAATTTTAAGCACTCCGTCAGAAGACATGACTGACATGACAGCCTCGAGCTCAATGTCTCCAGGAACAATGAACCGACGAAGGAACCGCTTGCCGGACCTGGAACCGTCTTCCTTCCTCTCCAAGTGACCTTCAACCACCAACTCTCTCTCGTTCGCAGCCTTCACGCTGATCTCTCCAACGTTCATAAAGTCTTGGACATCAATGACGAACTAAAATAAATAGATAGATAAATATATAAAATAAAATGAAAAGAATACATGACAAAGTCGGTTTACATGATGAGTTCTCATAATAATATTGCTTAACAAAGTAACAAATGAAACTAGTTTATGTCTAGTTTACCTTATAATGACGTTCATCTTCCGAAGACGTCACTGCCTGATTATCTTCCCTCATATTTCGTGCTCGTAGTTTTCTGTAGCAAGTCATCTCGTCACCGGAAGACGACTTCTCTCCCCATTTGTTCAGGATTTCCCTTACGGCTTTCTGGAAACCCTCCCTTGTGTCTCGGAAAAAGTAATCGGAGAAGAACAGTCCTTTCCTCGTCACTGGAAAAGACTTCAATGCGGAGCTACACTGAGAAACACTCGTGAAACGAGAGGACGTTCCCATACTTGTGTCTTCGGTGACGTTATATCTGTTGGTTTCTTCAGACTCCCTGTTATATTCTCGCCCAAAGCGTCTCAGTCTATTGTTGTCCTCGAAGTTGGAATCAAGTTTGGACCTCTCTGTCCCCGACGTGAAATTACGAGTTTCCTTTGACTGTAATGTCACATTCTTGTTCAATCTATCTTGATTTTCATCCTTCGCCTCAAGCACATGCTTTTCAGCAGAAAGTGAAGGTGATTTTGAGTCAATAATTTCTTTTGAAATGTTGCATTTTGCTTCAGTCTTTTTAGCTGTATTTACCTCGACATTTCCTTCCTGAAAAATAATCATTTGATACTATATTTGTATAGTGTATATGATTTTCTTTTTTTCTTTTCATAGGTGATATACTCCCAGTTGTCATTAACAACATATAATTGGAACATACCTTAAAGATCACAGTAACTGTGAGGATGCCATCTAATGACATAACAGAAGTGATATCAGTATATTGCGGAAGAGAGAAGCGGCGTCTGAAGGAGTGAGAGGTCTCGGATGAGGTTCCTTCACTCTTCACCACACGTCCCTCAATGACTAACTCTTTCTCATCAACAACCTTTGCTTGTATATCTCCACTCATGAACTCATAAACGTCCATAATTATCTGGAAACAATAAGTAGTTTTTATATGCCAACCCGTTTTTTAAAGTGCTTAGTTTAAAAAAAATCATTCTAGTAATGATTTTCTAATGCTATCGATGGTAATCAGTATATTGATAAAAAAAAAAACTATGACAGTAGTATTAACTAACCTTTAGACAAGACTTGTCTGATGTAACGATAACAGCCTGATTCTCTTCCTTCAGATCGCGAGATCGAAGCTGCCTGTAGCGTTCCAGGATATCGGTGTAACAGAGGATAATGTCGTACTCAAAGTTTTCCTCATTGCACCTGTCCAACACCTGCCTGAGAGCGGCACTGAAGTCTCGCTGAGTGTCAAGGAAGAATGAGTCTTGGAAGAAGTTTCCTCTTTTGGTGATGAGCAAGAGCTCTTCTGGCGAATCTCTGTGAACCCGTCTTGTTCCTTTCAAGGATTCAGCAGTTTCTGTAGACTCTTCTGCACGCACGGTTTTAGTCATCTCTTTAAGTTTCAGCTGCCCAAGAGTCTCAGTTGCTGCCAACTGATTCATTTTACTGTCGAGCATTTCCTCAGAAACTGGTTTGGACCTTTCTTGCACAGGTACGGCATCCTCAGTGACATCGTCCAAAATGGTTGAAGACGTTGAGTTCTGAGTTTTGGACGTATTCTGAGCCTCAGCAACAGCTTCCTGTGAATCTTTCACATCAAGAATGCCAACAGATTCCTGGGAATCCTTAAGATCAAGAATTTCAACAGCTTCTGAATCCTTCAGATCAAAAATTTCAGCAGCTTCCTCTGAATCCTTTTGATGCAAAATTTCCGTAGATTCCTGGGAATCTTTAAGGTCAGGAATTTCTACAACTTCTGAGCCTTTCACTTCAAGAATGTCAATAGATTCATGTGAGTCTTTCACATCACGAATGTCAACAGATTCCTGTGAGTCTGTCAGACCAAGAATTTCAACAGCTGTACCTTTCACCTCAACAATGTCAGCAGACTCCTGTAGGTCTTGTACATCAAGAATGTCAACAGATTCGTGTGAGCTTTTCAGGTCAAGATTTTCAACAGCTGAGCCTTTTGTATCAAGAATGTCAACAGATGCTTGTGAGTCTGTCAGATCAACAATTTCAACAGCTTCTGAACCTTTCACTTGAAGAATGTCAGCAGATTCCTGTGAGTCTTTCAGATCAAGTATTTCAACAGCTTCTGAATCCTTTGCATCAAGAATGCTAACAGATTCCTGTGAGTCATTCAGGTCAAGAATTTCAATTGCCTGTTGGGAGTCTTCAAGATGAAGGACTCCAACAGTTTCAGATTCGTTTTCTTCTTCGGGAATGACAGAAGGAAGAGAATCCTGGGAAGTTCCAAAGTCACGTGATTCAGAATTATCACCAAACGTTTCATTCAAGCCGATCGAACTTCGGCGACATAGGGAAGCTTCTGTAATTTCTGAAGACTCAGAGTAAGACACAGAAGCTGAATCATCAGCCATCGCTTCTTCAGTTACAATAGATTCTAGTGTGCCAATAGTGTCTTTGCTCTGATTTTGAGTTTCTACAAAGCCGAAATCAGTATCATGACTCGATGTTGCTGCAGAATCAGTCGACAGAAGGAACTGTTGAGCTGTCTCAGATTTCACTGAGTGACACATTTCTTCAGAGAGTGGAGTCTTTACATCTTCGAACTCAATGCTCGTATCTTCTGCTATAGAATCCATGCAGTCATATGTGGCTTTGCTTGCCTTTTCACATTCCTCATGGAGAGAGATTGTTTCATTAGTTGGGGATACCGAGCGTTGAACTTCAGAGGATTCTTGAACTTCCTTAATGGAGCTGACCACTTTGTCTTCTTCAGATTCTTCTGGCTGTTAAACAATTCAGATTGAATCTTATGGACACAGAGACATGAGTGTGTGTGTGTCGTGTATTTGCGTGTGTGTGTCGGGGGGGAGGGGAGTACTTGTGAGTTGGTGTGTATCATGTGAGTGTGTGCTATGCGCAGACAATTTCATCTTTATAACATATAACATACGTCATATCATCTACAGATAATCATTAAATACCATTTTTGAAGCGATGATTGTGAGTATGCCGTCAGAAGACATGATGCACGTGATGCTTGTCATGTCAATATACTCTGGCAAGGAGAAGCAGCGTCGGAAGGAGCATGAGGACACGGATGAGCTTCCTTCTCTCTTCGCCACACGTCCTTCTACCACCACCTTCGTCTCGCCCACCACCTTCACCTTCAGATCCCTATTCATGAAGTCTTGGACGTCCAACACGATCTGTAAAGAGATAAAAATGTTAAACAATATGCATAATGCTTACATATGAGTATCATATTTGAATGAATTGCTATTCACATAAAAACACACATGTAAGCAGCTGCATGTTAATTGGAAAATTATTAATTGATCTTGAAAAGACACTTAATCATATTGTATTACTCGGAGTGATTCATACACTACTTACCTTGTAACTAGTGTTGTCGGACGTGACGATAGAGACTTGAGTTTCTTCCCTCAAATTACGGGATCGAAGCTGTCTGTAGCGGACCAGAATATCGCTGTGACTTAGACTAAGGAAGTCCTCACTGTCTGCGCTAACCCACTTCTTCAGGACCTCTCTGATGGCAGTGTAAAACTCTTGGTGGACATCGAGGAAGAAGGAATCCTGAACGAAGCTTCCTCTTTGAGTGATGGGCAAGATTTCTTCGCGCAGTTTGATGGCTTCTGTTGAATCAGATTCAGATTGCATGGAAGTTTGTTGTTCTTCAGAAATAAAGTCATCACAAGAGGCTTTCTCAGTGATTGTTGATTTGAATGTTTCAGTCAGTCGTTTGAGTTCATGATCCTGATTATTGGCATCGTTTCCATGTTCATGGACAGAAGCAGTTGTAGACTCATCCACAGACTGATTTTGACAGATCTTGGGCTTTAAAACTTCCTTGGATTCAGCAGGAAATTCAAATTCTTTCTCCAGCTTTCTCATCTTGTTCTCGTACATGTGTTTTTGTTCGCACTCAAAGTCCTTCTGATCTACATTGACAAGATTCTCGTGAACGGAGATGTTTTTCTCCGTCGTGGACGAGAGTGCCTTAGGTTTTAAGTCTTGAACCGTTGATTCCTTCCTTTCCTCAGTCATGGAGAAGTTAACGTGCGTGTTTTGCTGTGGTTCTCCTGCCTGAATGAGATATGAGAGCGACGTTTTACTCACTTTATGCATATAAAGACTAACCTAATGATACATTCCAGTTTCATTAGCATACCAGAGGTCTTTATATTTACCTTTTTATACATGATTCAGCAATGCAAACATATAGGGTCTATCAAGTTTCAGAAACATAAAAGTTGATGTTTACCGTTTTGGGAGCAGTTATTGTGAGGATACCATCTGAAGACATGACAGAAGTAATGTGTGTCATGAGTGTGGTGAGGCAGGGAAAAGCGGCGTCTGAAGGAGTGTGACGAGACGGATGAACTTCCTTCCTCCTTCTCTACGCGTCCTTCCACCACCAGCTCCTTCTCGTCTACGACTTTCACCTTGACGTCTCCGCGCATGAAGTCATACACGTCAAGCACGATCTATGAAGTTGGAACGAAACTGAATTATTTTTTCAGAACAATTTTTAATCAGGAACTTAATGGAAAGAATAGCCTTAGTGAAATGATAATAGGGGTGATAATCTTAATAATAATGATAATAATTTTGACAGTGATATTGATATTGATAATAGTAATGCTATTAACAATACTGATATTAATATTAATAACGATGATAATGGTAACAATGATAATAAAAAAATAAGAAAAATCAAAAGAAAGAAAAAAGAACAAACATAATGAATGGGATAATAATGAATTTCACGAAAATATATGAAAACATAATAAGGTTTTCAGGAAAGAGCTGTAAATGAAGTAATTTGGCTCATCAACTAAAAGTGAAGCATGAAATGTATTGTAAATATTCTGTTTCATATAATTAATGGTCCACTTTCATTGAATACAGGTAAATAGATAAAGCATTAGTCAGTGGGAATTGCTGATACATAGATTGGGGACTGACCTTGAGGCTAGCACTGTCTGACGTGACGGAGAAGACCTGGTCCTCTTCCCTCATGTCTCGAGATCGAAGCTGCCTGTAGCGGCTCAAGATGTCACTGTGACTGACATCGTCTGTCACCGTCAGATCGGAGTCATTGCATTTCTTCAAGATTTCCCTGACAGAGGCGTCGAAGCCTTGGCGTATGTCGGAGAAGAATGAGTCTTGGAAGAAGCTTCCTCTCTTCGTGATGAGCAAAGAATCTTCTTGCTTATTCCCAAGAGTTTTCTTTGCTTCCACCGAGTCGGAAAGTCTTGTGGAAGCAAAATCTGTGATGACAGACGATTCCTTCTGTGATGATTGTTGGGTGTTGCTTGAGATATTGGAAGTTGCAGTTTGGGTCTTGTCCTCGTCGATATTCTCCTGAAAGCATCGTGCGTATTTGCGTTCCTCCGCTTGGGCTGTGTGGGATATTCCTTGGCCAGATGCTGTTTCCTCAGAAACTCTCGAGGTCGTCGAGGAAGTTGAGCTGTGAACTTCTGAAGCATTATGCGTTTCCTTGACACTAATGGGGATGACAGTAGTCTTCTGTTGTGTTTCACTCTCCTGTTGGTTACGAGAGGCGTATTAATTATGCGGATGCCTGCTACACTTTGGATTCATTTATATAAAATTTTCATAAGGCATTAGTGAAGTACAAGAGAAGCTAGAACAATACCTTCTTGGACGCAGTGATTGTCAGGATGCCATCTGACGACATGACAGACGTGATGGACGTTATGTCAATGGACTCAGGCAAGGAAAAGGTGCGTGTGAAGGTGTGCGAGGACCTGGCCGACTGGGCCTCCACCAACAGCTCCTTCTCGCCCATCAACTTCACCTTCACATCTCCATCCACAAAGTCATGCATATCCACCAAGATCTATGAAATGATTCACGGTATTAATATTAAGTTTTCAGTCGTCCATGAAACGTAAGGATTTATATCTTACACATGTAGATGAATTGAATAAGAGTGTGCAGTTTTCATGCAACTTACCTTATAACTAATATTATCTGAAGTAACTGTAACGGCCTGGTTGTCACTCCACAGGTTCCGCGATCGAAGCTGTCTGTAGCGGCCCAGTCTGTCGCTGCGGTGGAAGTCGTCATCGTCCCAGAAGTCCGCCAGCTGGTGATCGGCGTCATTCCAGCCATTGAGGACCTTCCTGATGGAGGCATCGAAGTCGCGATGTTTACCGGAGAAGAAGGAGTCCTGGAAGAAGCCTCCCCTTCGAGTGATGGGCAAGGATGTGTCCCACGAACCGCAGTCAAACCCAGAGGAATCAGCTGTTCTTTTGAAACCAAGATCACACGAACAGCTTTCTTTTCGTGTAGAAGACAAGTGTTCTGAGGCTGTTTGTTTTCGTGTTTCGCTGACTTTCTCATAATTCGAAGCGGAAGTCTGACTGATTGCATTTTCCTTTGTCATTTCTGTTTTCTGTGAGACAAAATCAGATTTATTATTACTATCAATATAATGTTGCGTTCTTCTTTACTCATACAGCATTCCTTTGTTTATATACTCCCCGTTTACAAGAAAATAATTGACTCACTATTTTTGGCGCAGTGACTGTGAGGATACCATCTGCAGACATGACGGACGTAATCGCTGTCATGTCTGTGTGTTGAGGCAAAGAGAAGTATCGTCTGAAGGAGTGTGACGAGACGGATGAGCTTCCTTCCTCCTTCTCCACGTGTCCTTCCACTAACAACTCCTCGTCCAACACTTTCACTCTCACATCTCCACACATGAAGTCATGCACGTCCAGCACAATCTGGGAGATAGAATTTATGTGTTACAGCTATTTGTAGACTTAACCTGCTATTTTACACACTATTTAATTGTGTCAAGTTTAATAGAGTATTTGGAAACCGCGATCGTTATACCGACTCACCTTATGACTTTCGTTGTCAGATGTGACTGTGACAGCCTGGTTCCCTTCATTTAGGTTACGAGATCGAAGCTGTCTATAACGGTCCATAATATCATCCCGGCGGAAGTCTTTCACTTTCAAATCTTCGTCACTCCATCTGGCCAACACCTCCCTGACGGAGGAGTCAAAATCCTTGTGTATGTCAGAGAAAAACGAGTCTTGGAAGAAGCTTCCTCTGCGACTGATAGGAAGGATCACATCCCATGACCTGCTGCTTGACCTTGCCTGCCGAGAGCACTTTGCAGCGGGTGTGGAGGACACTTTCACGTAGGACTTTTCCATCTGAATGGGTGCCATTTTCAAAGTAGGAATATATATACACTTGTGCTATGACTTGAGAGGAGATCGTTGGAGGTGCACGTGCGCTTGTGAACTGAAGATTCCTAGGAGGACACTAAACATATATACTGTCTCTGGCGAGTGCTAGCGTGTGACGTGGCAGCGGCGTCACTTGGCACGAATAACTTTTGCGTGGCTGCCAAAGTCCAGAGACGTGAGTAAACATCTGAGGTCCAGTATCAGCACGACTGAAGTAGTATTGCATTACAATACTGCTTAATGCGTCGGAGGATATTTCGGGAAGATTTGCAACACTCTTTTTCGAATAAGATTATTTTTAACTTTAACTAAGGAACCTTTTACCTGGAATCGATGACATACACATTCATGTACGCATGTGTATACATATATATAAAGGTATGTAAACACTTACACACAAGCACACACAAATATATCTATCTATCAATATACACACACATACACATATATATAGAGATAGATAAACAGATGTATATCCATATATACATCTGTATATATGGAAAAAACGCACACACAACACACACGCTAACACAGACACAACACACAAACACACACATATGTATATAAAAATATGTAAAAACATACACATACGCACACAAATATCTATCTATCTATATATATATATACATATATACCTGTATATCCATATGTATCCATATATACATATACAAAAACTCACATACAACACCCACACACACGCACACAACACAAGCACACACACACACATATGTATATATATATACACATGAATAAAAGAAACTCTTTACATACACTCCCCGTGGGCACACGGTAGAATTTGATTACTTATGGTTATTCTCATTACTGTCATAATTATCATTATTGTTATTTTTATCATCATCATCGTCATCATCATTCTCAGTATCAATTTCATTATTGTTTTTCTTAATATTGTTGTTATTGTTATTATTATTATTATCATTGTTATTATCATTATCATTATTATCATTATCATGATGATTATTACCATTATTACTATTATTATTATTATCATTATTATTATCATTATTATTGTTATCGTTATCATTATC